CTGCCTGCCCAGCCGTCAATGGCGTGACATTATCATTGGGCACCCCAGGCGCCCCATTGAAGGCAGCGCCCTAGGCGACGGCCGAGTCAGTCTATACTCACAGGCCGCCCCTGATCCCGATCTCCACAAGTTTTCAAAGATAATGGCCAAAGGCTCTGCAATGACATTTGCCAACTCCCTACGTACCCTCGATGCATTAAATCCAGGCCCATGGATTTGTGTATGTTTAGCTTTTCTAAATAGGTCCTAACCAGCTACAGTAGACTTCTGATAATCTGGAACCTTTGGGACCTCAGTGGTGCTGGAGTATTGGATATACCAACCCTTTTCGCTCGGTTCAGCTGCTGCCGCTGTTGCTTTGTGACTAGTTTTTTTTGCCAAAGCTCACTCACTAGGCTCTTGCCATTTTGATGCTGGACTATCAGGAGTGCCGTAGAATTGGATGCCGGACTATTGGAGTTTTACTGTATTTCCCCACCAAGGGCTGTCCACCTCCTTCCATACTGCGTTGCCTAGTGCATTAGTCTGGGAGGCAAAGAAAGCATTGAGTACTTCAGCTTTTCCCACATCATCTATCACTAGGTTACCTCCCTCATCCAGTAAGGGCCCCACACCTTCTCTGATCACCCTCTTATTGCTAACATGCCTGTAGAAACCTCTCTCATTACCCTTCACATCCCTTGCTAGCTGCAATTCCAATTGCACTTTCACCTTCCTGATAACTCCCCTGAATTCTCGAGCAATATATTTATAGTCCTCCCTAGTTTCCACTTCTTGTAAGTTTCGTTTTTGTGTTTAAGCTCACCGGGGATTTCCCTGGTAAGGCAACCTGATCGCCTACTATATTTACTTTTCTTACTGCGCGTCAGGATGGTTTCTTCCTGTGCCTTTAATAAGGTTTCTTTACAGTGATATAGCCTTCTCTGGCACATACCCATAATTCTGTTAACGTATGATATGTAACTCATAACTTCTTGCATTTGTTGAAGTACACATTTGTCATAAGGAGACTGTAAACTTGTCAAAATCAAGATAGATTTGTTCTATGTCTTAATACAAGCTGGGAAAGTACCAGTACCCCGAATGCTCCAGTCCAAAACAAAGCATGAGGAAGGAACAAAACAACAAATTAGGGAACTAGGACAAACTGGACTCCAGTGATGTAGAAAGATGTGCAACTTGTAAAATCATTGCATAACATTTGCTGAAATGTGTAATTTTGAGTACAGACCTTCTGAAGAAATTGAATTCAACACTAGTGCATGAGACATCTTCCTGGGGACCAGAATCACATATAACCTTATCCTTATCCTGCATTATTATTGCTTTAGAGCAATCAACCTGACTGTTTAAAATAAACATCAGTTATTTGGCCTCTTGAATATAAATTATAATAAACCAAAATGTGGTCAAGCAATTGACTATACAATTTACCAGCAGTCAGTGGTTTTGGTTCAGCTTTTGTATTCATTCTCATTTGATTCTGACTGATCTTCTTGGAAGTTCCTCCAGAATTGCTAAAAACTAAAGGATTTCTGAACTGCATAAGTACTGGCTATAAATAAATGTTTTCGGTATCATGTATTTCAAGCATAGTTCAATACTTACTTCCACATGTTGGCAGGTTTGAATGAGTTTAGCCAACAGAGTTTCCAGTTCAGTGTTCCTCTTAATAAGGTTTGTGAGATTATTCTCCAAATTTTGCTGTTTAAAAGAAAGAAAAGAACATTTTAGTATTCTGCAGAATTTAGGATTTCTGGCAAATATATGAAAAATGGTTATACTTTCAGGACTATGGTATGCACATATGGCTCTCTCATTTATCTCTATTACCAAATATTCTGAGCATACACATGGTAACATAAGTACCTATTTAGCCAGGTGTTTGCATGTACAAAATGCACACACCCTTCTTATAAACTTATTGGAATTTGCAATTTTTAAACAAATCTGTAACTGATTTAATAACTGCTAAATATAGTGGTCAAGATGGACAATATATCTATATTTTTTCATCATTTGAAATAAAACTCTTATAACCATGAAAATAAATATCATCCCTTACCAGTTTTGTTTTCCCAGTTATTTTTGAGAAAGACAATATCAGACAGTTTATTAAAAACCAAATATTATATATACTTTTTGTTTCCTTCATCTGCTAACTTTCTAATACCATCAGGGTCAACAATCAAGTATCTCTAAGAGGATTTCTTCTCTATAATCCTACGAGGCTTATTGCTTATGGATGTTTATCCTCATGTGAAATAAATAAATAGTACTCAGTATTACCAACTCTTTGGCTTTTACTGTGGTTCTCATAATAAGAGAAATTTTATTTCTTCCAAAAACAAATTAATATGAGAGAGTGTGAGCTTTAATTTAAACAAAACAAAACAATATTTTTATTTTTGTTGGTTGTGAAGAACTGCTTAAAAAAATATGACCTTAATGTACTGTAAAAGTTCAAAAGCCAGAAAACAAATACAAATAACTCAAATTATTATTTTTTTAAATCTCATGACTTTTATAAGCCTGACTTATAATGTTTGATCATTCAGGGCTACGATTACTAAGAGCTGTGTGCATGAGTATAAGGCTGATCTATCCACAAATGTATAGGCATTCCCCGGGATACATACAAGATAGAGACTGTAGGTTTGTTCTTAAGTTGATGGAACTGGCGTCCAGATTCAGCCGCTGCTGAAACTGACCAGCGGCTGACTACAGGAAGCCCGAGGCAGAGTTTGTCTGCCCCAGGCTTTACGATTACTAAGAGCTGTGTGCATGAGTATAAGGCTGATCTATCCACAAATGTATAGGCATTCCCCGGGATACATACAAGATAGAGACTGTAGGTTTGTTCTTAAGTTGATGGAACTGGCGTCCAGATTCAGCCGCTGCTGAAACTGACCAGCGGCTGACTACAGGAAGCCCGAGGCAGAGTTTGTCTGCCCCAGGCTTCCTGGAATCAGCCACTGATCAGTTTCAACCGCCGCTGAAAATGGATGGCCCGGGAAC